TATATATATATATATATATATATACACACACATTCTTAATAATATTGGTTGTTTTCCTTTGTATCATAAATATTGACAAACTCCAGACTCCAAACTCTTGAAGCTGTAATTTATAGAAGACCCTACTCTCCGAAAGGAGAGGAGCATGTACTGTGTAACTCTATACAATTTAACAGGTATCATTTATTTATTTATGTATTTATTTTTAATTATAGCAGGATTGGTCCTCCATAAAATTGTTCTCAAAACTTAGCAATGTAAAATGAGTAGCATTCAGTTCAGTTTAATTCATTTTCAAGAAGATTGAGAAGCTAAAACGACGCAAACAGTAACCAAAAGAGTCGCAACTTTTACCTTGAATTTATGGTGTAATGCTTTTAATGCATTTGATGTTTGTCATCATTTGGACAGATTCAAAAACTCAACATTCACAGTGACGGTTTCAGGCAAAATGAATGTCTTAAAATGTATAAATTACAAAACCGAATGAGGAGAAAAATTAAAATATTTAATTTTATGAGACTTTAATTTATTTACATTCAGTAACTTCTGAAGCCGACATAAATGTGAAATAAAAAACACAGAATCAAAGCTTAAAACGAGATAAAAAAAAAATAAAGTATTTCAATTGAAACCATTTTATACAGCAACAAATAAAGTATCTACCCCTTTCAAATTAAGTTACTCTTTTCTATTTTCTGATAAGTATTATTATATAAAACATATATATACACATGTATACATGTAACGTATTTATAATAATAGCATCATCAACATCATCTCTAAATAGAAAACATGTACAAGAATATGCAATACCTACAGGAAAAATAATAAAAGAAATTGCAGACAACTACTTAGAAAACTCCGAATTGACTGTAACAATAACTAAAAATGTAAAAACGTTTGCCCTTTTCTGCAGGCTTCCCTTTTGAAATTTATTTGAAGAAGGACTATGGAAACATATTCAGCACAGAGCTATTTGGGTGGATCTACTACATCGAGTTCACTCCTAATTCCGGCTCCAATCAGACGATCCTGTGGAGTCGGGATGCTCCTCAGGCCAATTTTGATGACAGACGGAGAACAGAGGGCAATAACTTCATTATTTACAACTTGACCCAGAGAGATAGTGGCCTGTACGTTATGAAGGACGACAGGAATCAACCAAAGTCAAACAGAAGAGTTGAGGTAGTAGGTGAGGATGTTAAAGTACTAAGTCTTGCTGTGATGATCTCTTTGAAAGTAATAACAGGAAAGTTGCGGATAAAGACTCTGTCTTTGAGCTCTTTTAAATGGCTATGGGATAATCCTGAAATTACTTTCCAGATAAAGGTTTTAGAGCAAATATTGGTAGAATTGGCAGCTTTTAATAGCTCAAATATCAACTTGAGACATTCAGCACCATCAGTGACTTCTTCTAAATGTATCCTCTTTATGCTCTTGTCTACTCCAAGACTTCCCTCTTCTTCTTTCCTCTGAAGGAAGTCAGGGGTCTTCCAAGGCCAGCAGAGCTACATGGTACTTCCAGTACGCCTTGGGCCAGACCCTAGGCCTGGTTTTTAACCATGCCTGGAACAACTCCCCAGGGAGTCATCCAGGGGGTATCTGAGCCACCGTAGCTGACTCTTCTTGATGTGGAAGAGCAGTTTTACTCTGAGCCACTCCTAGATGGCTGAGCTTTCCCCCTATCTCTAGGTAGTGCCCTGCCATCCTGTGGAGAAAGCTTACTTGTATCCAAGATCTAATTCGTTAGGTCATTTACTGGATTTCAAGACAGTAGATGAGGGAAGAAACATTGACAGACAGGCAAATTGAGGACTTTTCATTTTGGCTCAGCTCTATTCACCACAACATACTGGTGCAACATCTGCATTACAGCAGTGACCACAATGCCATGTACATAACTGCTACTCTAAATTGAGCAAAGGTTTTGGTTACTCTTCCCCTCCCCCGTGCACATGAAAACCTTAAATCTGAATTTAGTTTGAAATGATTTGATTTGATTGTAAAGCGTAAAGTCAGAATAGCAATTTTGGCAGTAGAAAAATGGCAGGTTTTCAGAGCCAAAAAAATCAAAACATATGATGGACATTTATATTCAACCTCCTTAATTCTGTCAACTGAAAATTTGTTAAAAAGAGTGACATGTAAGTTGTTAAAAAATCTGTTGCAAATAGTTACATAGAAAAACTTAAAGTCAATAAAAATGTGAATTAATATTTTTTTCCTTTTATTGCCCCCCAGCAAAGAGAAAGAATTTGAACCTGCAGTATTTTGACGGTATTTCCCTCACCTCTGAGCTGGATCCTAGCATTTGCAACATTTACTTCTTGCCAGAGAGCGGTCCGCAGGTAGAGATAGTTCGTCATGGACAGCTGCAGGACTCCAATGAATCAAAATGTAAAGGATTTAAACTTTTGGAGCCATGTGGGCTCGAAAAGACCTTCTATGGGTCATGCGTTGGACAGTTTCAGGTGAGAGATAATAATAACGACACCGCCCTGGTGATGTTTGTGGAACAAAAGCGTAAGTAACCTGCATCTCTCACATAATTTTTACAGAGAGTACCTGACATAGACGTACAGTGTGCTTAGGGTGACCAGATTTATATATTTTTTTTGTTTCACTCAAAACTGGTTTTACGTTTAAGGAGAAGCCTAGAAACCAAAAAAGGAGAAGCGATCACCTGTGCATTGAGGCCTATTTGTATTTGTTCATTTTAAAAGAAGATTAATTTCAAATGCATGTTTTCATGCTCTTGTATTTTAGGTACTCCGTAAACGATCCTCCAATCATAACATTCAAACATTTCTAACAAAACTAACTGTGCTATACAATGAAGAATCTGTATAAAAAAGAAGATTAAGCAAGTCAAAACCTGTTAGGGAGCAGCATAGAGAATCCAAACTGCTCTTTGAAACTGGTTTTTGCTCTTTTTGCTTTATGCACTGTGTCTATAACTTTCTTTTCTTATGTGCACCAATGTTCCTGTTAGTGCATCTAAATCACATTTAACATATTGACTTGTAAATGATCAATTAACAATTTGGCCATTATATAAATTGTTATTTAAAGCCGAATTCTACAAAATCTTAACAAGTCTAAATGATAAATGAGGGCCTCCTAGGTACTTTAAACTGCCTCAGTGCTTTGTTGGATTTCCTTCATTGGAGTCACACCCCCCTCACATGGATAAGTCCATTGTTTGCTTCTTCTTACCTTTGGCCTTAGTTAAACCAACTTGTTTTACTCTTTCAAACATTCACACCTTCTAGATTTGATCCATCTGTTCTGTTTTTATTAGATATTCCACTGTGTCTGAATGAAGAGATGATCTCGATCCTCTTTTATGCCAAAAACCTTCATAAAATGTATATTCCACTGAACTATTATCAACATGATTATACGTTATTCATCCCCATGGGGGAAGCTGAATTGTCATCAGAGCTAAACAGATTGAAAAAATCTGCACATGCAAGATCCAAAAGTATTGGGAGAAAATAGATAAGATTATGTTTGTAATAAACTATAGTAAAGAAAGTGAATGACATGGCATCTTTTAAAAATAAGATTTACTAAATCTATAGCAACTATCAACCTCCTCCTCCTTTTTCACTTCTGGAATCCAAATTATTTACTGCATTCATTTGGTTTATTGGCTCGGTCCTGGAAAGAATTCTCCTTTGAACAACACGTAGCACTGCTGTGACATTAAATTTTTGCACCACTAAGAAACTAGGTCACACTCAATTGATTTGAAACTCTAACTAAACTCTAATGTAAAGGAGGCATACTGTGGCTCTCACACATGGGTCTCTTCAACCCAACTTCCTACCCATCCCCCAGCAGCACTGTGCCTCAAGTCATGCAACCAATGCAAACTATGGCATAGTTGTGGGTGTAGGCCTCTTGTGCCCAAGGAAAAAAAAAAAACACCCTCACCTTTGGTTTGCATGCTGTTTGTGGTAAAACTGCCAGTGCAACCATACAACTGCATTTAACAGGCAGCCCTAATATTTTATTTAAGTATAAAAGCATCACAAACACATACTGTTGGCGCTGAATCTCATGTCCAGTTTTAGTTGTGATGCAAACACACACAGCAGCACTAGTTAAGTTTTTCTTTTTTCAATTTGCTTCATCTATCAACCACAAGAGGGTGCTACACCCTAATCCAACTTTAGGGTTAATAAATTAAGCTACCACTGCCCTCAAAGAAAAATAATGATTGATCCTAAAGTTACAGTTTGTTTAAGGCTTAAAAAATGAGAAGATAATACAGAAGTCGACAAACTCGCCTAATGACTTACATTAGAGTTACACTAGAATTGCTGATTGGCTTGCAGTAGTAATGCCTCAATAAGTCTCATACTGCATTGTACACATTTATAAGACTATTAATTCAGTTCTTTTGCTAAAAATAGTTAAGATTATTTATTACTTAGTCTACTAAA